ATCATGAGAAATGTCACATCCGAGAGACGCAATCCCCACCGTTCAAGGCTTTGGGGATCTTAGGGAAAGCACCACAGCCCCAGTGCCTGCCGGAGTCCCCCAGCAGGCAAGGCGGTAAAATCACAGCTATGGAGGGCTGAGTCTGGGAATCCCTAAACTTCTAGTACGGCTCTTAGAATTAGCAAGCCTAAATTTTTTTAAAAAGCAGAAAAGAAACCTTCGAAGCTGAGAAAAAACAGGCAAGAATTAACACCCAGCCAAGGAAAACAGGAGGCTGGAAGGACACACACATCTCTGGATTGATTAGTTTCCTGCACACATACTATGTTCTCATTGACTGATCTAAAATAAAAATTAGAAAAAAAAAAAAAAAGATGGTGGGGGACAAATGAGATAAGAAACAAGAAGAGAGGGATCAACAGTGGCCGTGGCATCAAATGATGGCTGGGAAGTAGGCCACCGCCCTACATAGGACACAGCAGGCAGGGGCTGAGGGGGTGACAGGGACCACCAGCTGAACTGTCACCTACTCCCCCTCCCTCTGGGCTCAGGCAGCCGCAGGCCTTGTGTTGGTAGCAAACCTGAGATGCGGTTTACCATCTACCCTGGGCTACATTCTTAGGCCACCTCTGTAAGGCCAGGTTCCAGAGCTCAGGGGGACCACCACTGTCTAGAAAATGCTCGATGCCCCAAGCGGCCACTTAAGCTGCACAATGGCACAGCGCCCTTGAAAGACAGGATGGGCTCCATGAAGTCCAACCTGTCCCTAAACCTAAAATCTTGAGATGTTGTGTGCTGGGGCTCACATGCATGCTGAGTCATTTCAGTCGTGTCTGACTCTTTGTGACCCTTTGGATTGCAGCCCACCAGGTTCCTCTGTCCATGGGGATTCTCCAGGTAAGAATACTGATATGGGTTGCCAGGTCCTCCTCCAGGGGATCTTCTCAACCCAGGGATCAAATTTGAGCCTCTTATGTCTCCTGCATTGCAGGCAGGTTCTTTACCACTAGTGCCGCCTGTGAAGCCCTGTGTGTTGGAAGTGAGAGGAAGAAAGTAAGACAAATAACTTGAAAAGCTGTTCAACACTGGGGACATTTCCTACAAAGTGAATGTCATAGCTGGGCCAATCCCTCTTCATTCCATGACCTCTCTGTATCCTGAACATCTCTTCATACTGCAATCACTGTGTATTAGAACTTTCACTACCAAGGAAAGGCCAAATTATGTTTGGTCATTATCTGCATAAGGTATGCAGGTAGTCTAGACGGAAGGTTTGCGTCTCCTCAAATTCACATGTTGAAATTCTAACCCTGAAGGTGAAGATGGTTGGACTTCCTGGATCATTCAGGCCCAAACCACAGAGCTACTTGACTGTGAACATTTGCTATCCTTTAGACCTAGGAAGAAGGACCCCATGGTGGCTCAGAGATCATCTGTCCACTTCCATGACAGGGCCATGGAGGGGACAGGAGCAGGACAGCCTCACCTTAGTTTCCAAGGGCAAGACCGATGCCCAGCAGAGCTGGGGAGAAGAGTGTACTGAAGTCTTGGGGATTCAACCCTCACTGGGCAAGCTGTGGGGGCCAGACCACTGCCCCTGGGGGTCTGGAAGGCGGAGCATCAAGTCCAGGAGGCTTATTCTTAAACCCTGAGATCTCATAGAGTTTGCCTTCCTAAGTTTGGCCTAGAATTTGTCACCCCTTCCTTCTTGCCAGTCTCTTCTTTTGGGAATGGCAATGTCTGCTCTGTGCCTGGCTGGCTCTTGTGCTCCGCAAGCACAGAGCTTGCTTGGTTTCACAGGTTCACAGCTGTCACAGGATGAAATCTTCTGTTTAAGCTGCTCAGTCTATGATATTCTATCACGGCAGCCTACACTAAGACACAGGTTTTCATATCTTGAAAGCTTTTCACTAAAAACATAAAAATAAAAGTAAAAATCTAAAAGCTTGAGGGGGTTGGAGAACTAAACTCAGTTGCCAAATAACTTGGTCATCTAGAATAATCCACTCCCCGAAGGATTCAGAATCGTGGTTTTACTGGTTGGATTATTACGCTACCAGCAGAACCCACAAAATTACAGAACAGGGAAGTCCTTGGTGGTCCAGGGGCTAAGATTCCATGGTTCCAGGGCCGAGGGCCCAGGTTCAATCCCTGGTCAGGGAACTAGATTCCCACATGTTGAAACTAAGAGTTTGAAAGGTACAACTAAAGATGCTGCAAGCCACAACTAAGACCCAGCACAGACAAATAAATATTAAAAAAAAAAAAAAGAAAAAGAAAAATGCTCATTAAAAAAAATAATAATACAGAACAAAATTCCACTGCCAACATTGTGGGAAAACCTGAAAGACTTGCCATGTATAATGCAGCCAGTCCCCTACATACGGACCTTCAAGTTGTAAACATTCAAAGATGTGAACAAGGATTTGCGTGTCCAATGACGTGAGTTCACGTGTCTGGTGTACACCCTCACGTGCACGCATCCTCTACGAGTGGCTTTGCTTTGGTGTCCTTTACCGTATAGTACTCTATGGAGTGGGCTTCCCTCACAGCTCAGTTGGTAAAGAATCCGCCTGCAATGCAGGAGACCCCGGTTCAGTTCCTGAGTGGGGAAGATCCGCTGCAGAAGGGATAGGCTACCCACTCCAGCATCCTTGGGCTTCTTTGGTGGCTCAGGTGGTAAAGAATCCGCCTGCAACGCGGAGGACCGCGGTTCGATCCCTGGGTTGGGAAGATTCCCTGGAGAAGGGATAGGCTACTCATTCCAGGCTTCTGGCCTGGAGAATTCCATGGACTATACAGTCCATGGGGTTGCAAACAGTCAGACAGACTGAGCAATTTTCACCTTCACTTTTCTTTCACTTTCACTGTATACAGTACAGTGGTACAGTATCTGTATTTCAAGCTTGAGGTGTCCAGAAGCAAGTGTGAAGGCAGCCGTGGTATAGCTGGTACGACTGTACTTATCAGGCTTCCTTGGTGGCTCAGGTGATAAAGAATTTGCCTATAATGCGGGAAACCCAGGTTCAATCCCTGGGTCAGGAAGATCCCCCCGGAGAAGGGCGTGGCAACCCACTCCAGAATTCTTGCCTGGAGAATTCCATGGACAGAGGAGCCTGGAGAGCTATAAAGTCCATGCGATCGCAAAGGGTCGGACATGACTGAGCGACTAACACACTGTACTTTTCAAAGTACTGTGCTCTGAGACTAACAATGCTTTATCTTTTGGGTTTGTTTTTCTTAATATGCTATTTGTGTGAAAAGTATTATAAATCTATTATAGCAGTGTACCATGTAGCCGAATGTATTAGTTGGGTACCTAACGTTGTTGAATTTATGAACAAACTGGACTTACGAATGCACTCTGGGAAAGAACTTGTTAGTATGCAGGGGACTTTCCTGAGTACTGTGATCTATAAGAAGCAAGTATTTGATCTTTGCCCCCTTTCTGGAACTGAGTTCTAAACTCCTGGAATTTCCTAAGTGATAAGAGTCGTTTGTTACATTAATGAAGCGGCTCAGGAAGGAGGCCCTGGGGCCCACAAAGTGATTAGAGATAGGGACCCTCAGCCGCCCGCCCTGACCTCTGCGGGTGGGGGAGGGCCTGGCGGGCAAATCAATTGCCCATGGCCAAAGATGTAATCAGTCATTACCAATGTGATGAAACTTCCATTGAAACCTGAAAGGATAGAGCTCAGAAAGCTTCTGGGTCAGTGAGCACATGGAGGTCTGGTGGGAATGGTGCCCCGAGAAAGCATGGAAGGGTCTCCTTCCTTCCCACCAAGCATCTCTGCATCTGGCTGCTGATTAATATTCTCAGTCCTCTAGTGAGTAAACTGGTCTCCCAAGCTGTTCTAGCAAATTAGTCAAACCCGAAGAGGAGGTCACGGGAACCGCTGATCTACAGCCAGGGGACACCCTGGACTTGTGACTGGTATCTGAGTGGAGGCAGGAGCAGCCTGGTGGGACTCAACCTGCGAAATCCAATCTATCTCCAGGCAGAAAGTGTCAAATTGAATAGAACTGCAGGACGCCCAGCTGATGTTCAGCAATGCTAGGTGGCGGAGCTTCCACACCCACACACACAATGGAATTGGTATTGGAATCCTATCACCAGGGTGCAGCTCCAGGTAGCATCCGTAACATTCATAATGAGCTCTGTATATTACAGATTATACTCTACTGAACAGATAGGAGGATGGAGAAGAAGCACATCTTAAATCATCATATTTAAAACCTGAGCAGGGCCCATGGAGCATAGCTCACAAAAAAAGACTGCAAGTTACAAAATACTCTAAATGTTAAAGAAACAGGATACAAAAAGTGAATATTTAGAAAATAAGTAAAGAATATTCCAGGGAGGAAGTACTGAAGCAGAATAAGAAAAAATAATGTAACTTGTTAGGGACAATTCAGAGGAAAGGGGTGAATCTTAAGTGTGGCAGAATAACAAATTAGTTTTTAGACCAAGGCTTTCACCTCACTCCATAACACTGAAAGAGGAAAATTTCACAGTAATCATTTTTTTAACCTGATAATGAAAATTCATATCCCAGCAAAGTTTCCAGTTAAAGACAACAAGTTATTTAACTAATATTCATTACAGCACTGACCCCACCTTTAGCAAAAAGGAGTAAATGAGCAGTAATTGCGTAATTTACAACTTGGCTGATAATACCAAAAACAGCAATAAGAACAGTTGACGTTCACTGAGAGCTTATGATTTCATCAGTCACTATTCAGAGTATTTTACCGGTATTAAGTCAGTTAACTCTTACCACTGTACTTCTCAACGTCTTAAAGAGGGACAGAGGTGACAGAGCTGGGAATGGTGGAATGGGCAGTCTGCCTCCCCAGCCTGTTCCCCTAGTCACCACGCAACATTCAGATTCTTTTTTTATTCCACCCTCCAGTTTCTTCTTCTAGATGACATGCATCTCAAAAATACCAACAAGAGCACAATGCACAGGAGAAATGTGACAGAGCATTACATCACTTACCATTGGGGAAAGCTAATACACTGATGATAAGAAAGAAGAAAATTACAGAGAGGATGCCCCTCCAGATGTTGTCTTCTGGGACAGAGTCATCCCTGAAAACAGAAAAGGAACATTGAATGTTACTTTTGAATCTATAATCAGTCTAGAAGAGTACAAGTTCCATGTTCTAAAAAACTGGGGATTGCTAACTTTATTTTGCTGAGCTAAGTCATTACATTCACTATTTACTATTCACTATGGTATTTCCTAAAATAATACAGCCTCATAGTAAAGCCTAGTTCTTATGATAAAGGCACTGTCAACCTTACACCCCAACACACGTTCTACTCGGACAAGCATTTGAGAATCATCGTTCTTTTACAAAGGGGCTTCCCACGTGGCTCAGTGGTAAAGAATCCACCTGCCAATGCAGGAGGCGCAGGAGACACGTGTTCAATCCTTGGGTCGGGAAGATCCCCTCGAGAAGGAAATGGCAACCTGCTCCAGTATTCTTGCCTGGGAGATCCCATGGACAGAGGAGCCTGGTGGGCTACAGTTCGGGGTTGCAAAAGAGTCCAACATGATTTAGCGACTGAACAACAAAAATCCCCGAAATGGAAATTTTCTTACCACTGATGGTGAAAAATTTAGGTTTTAATTAAGAAAGAAGATTCTAGTAACAAATCTGGGGCTCAGAGAAGCAAAAAAAGTAGGAAAACAGAAAAACAACTGGAAGATTTTCTGAAGTATTGATAATTATCAGGAAGTTTGGTAGAGGGAAGTTCAATGTTCCAGTTTAGAAAGAAGTACGATAAGTAAGAAAACATATGAGAAGAAACACAATGGAAGGACATGGTTTAGAGATGATGAAACTGGTAGCAGTACATTGAAAAATGATAAAAGAAACTGGGTTTATCTGGAGGAGGACTGTCTATAGTGAAAGTTTTCAAAAGACAAATGTTAAATTATTTAAGATTGAATATTACTAAATGAAAAGAAACAGGTCAAAGAAGGATCTTAGAAGAAAACCAAGTTTGCATAGAAAAAAGATCTTGAGAATGAGAATACACACATGAAAAGGTATGAAATGAAGCAATTACCTCGTTAAGGACTGAGTCCTGGGTGGTGGTTTAAAAGTGTTAACTTAGATACCAACTCCTGTTTAGGCCGCTAAGTTTCTGCACCCAGTGAAATTATTTCCAGACTTATGACAGGACTGAACATAAGGTTCTGAAATAAGATGTCATACAGGTCTTAAATGTTTCCTAGATCACTACACAGCCAAACAGCACTGAACTAATCCTGGACAAAAAACACTTGGTGGTTAAATTCAGAAATCTGATTACAAAACCATTCTTTACGATCAGATAGACTTCTTCTCATAACAAAGTGCAATCTTATTTTAATGGTCATCCTAACAATTAAACATTTGCCCAGAAGTTACAAACACAACTTTAAAGTGCCAGGCTGGGGCACACTTGCCATGCCCTTTGGCTTATGTAGGGAAGCCCTGTATCCAACTCTCAGGAACATTTGCTTTTATTGAAGAATGGCTACACACAGCAGGTGTGGGGACACAATGTCCTCATTCAGACCAAGTCACACTACTGATACTGCTAATGATGACAGCCAGGGTAACAGGTCCTGTCTATCAGGGATCTACTGTGTTTTCACGCACTGAACAGGCAGTTTCTAGACATTATCTCTAATTGTCACAACCCATCTGCAAAATGGGCTGATATCAACCACATCTTACAGATAAGGTAACAAAGGTCAGACGGGTTCAGTAACTTGCCCAAGACTGTGGAGCTAAGAAGTTGCAGAGCCAGCTTCAAACCAGGTCTGCTAGACTCTGAAGATACTGATCTTTCCCCTTTGCCAAATTGCCTTATGAAAACTTACCTGTCATCCTAAATTCCACCTGACTCATGGGAGATGCACAGGGATCGTATACGAGAGGTGGACTGGGCATGCAATTGGTAAGTCACAAAATAAAAGCAAAGCTAAAATGAGTAACTGTGGCCGAGGAAAAGAAGATAAAGCCTCATAACTCATGCCTTAAACCAAAATACACTCTAGATGATTCAAACAACTAAAAGTTGAAATAAAACAAAATTCGAGATAAAAAATGATGGGAGAACTAAAAAAAAAAAAAAAAAAAAACCAAACCTATACACCCCCCAAAAAGACACCCCAACCTCAGCGTGGGGAATGCCTTTCTAAAGCATGATACAAATCCCCAAGGTCACAGAGGAGAAAGCTGACAAATTTGCACGACAAAGAAATCAGTAACAAAGTCCAAGGAAAAGTGATAGATAAACTTGGAAAAAAAATATTTGCCACTCATATGAAGGCAAAGGGTTAACTCACCAAATTACGAAGTTCTCCCCACCAAATCAATTAACAGAAAGAACAACAAATGGACAGAGAAAAACAAATAGAAAAGTGGACAAAGGATACGAAGAGGCAGTTCACTGAGCAGAAAAATCCAGCAGCTCTCAGGCAAGTAAAAAAAAAAAGATGCTCAATCTTGTTCACGGTAAGATATGGACACACTGGAACAATACAAAGAGACCACTTTTATCTACTTTATCACTGGTGGCTCAGATGGTAAAGAACCTGCCTGCAACGCAGGAGACCCAGGTTCAATCCCTGGGTCAGGGAGATCCCCTGGAGAAGGGAATGGCAACCCACTCCAGTATTCTTGCCTGGACAATCCCATGGACAGAGGAGCCTCGAGGGCTTTCAGTCCACGGGGAAGCAAAGAGTTGGACATGACTGAGTGACTAACATAACTCTTCCTTACCTTATGGAAAAAGGCAAAAATTTAATGACTGAGCTGGTGAGGATATGCAGAAACAGATAAACAGGTATTCTCACACACTACCTTTATGGGGGGCCATTTGACAACACATTAATTTATAAATGCATATACTCTGTAACTCAGCAAGTCCATGTACAAGAATATATCTCACAGATATACCCTCATTTGTGCAAAAATGACATATGTACAAGGCTGCTCACCGTAGCACTGTATGTTTTAGCAAAACAAGGAAACAACTAAATGCCCAGCCAAAAGAGACGTTAAAACATTACGGCTCTGGCTCACAAGCAAGCACTTGTTGCTGTTCAGTCGCTCAGTCATGTCCAACTCTTTGCGTCCCCGTGGACTGCAGCACATCAGGCTTCCCTGTCCATCACCAACTCCCGGAGGTTGCTCAAACTCATGTCCACAGGGTTGGTGATGCCATCCAACCATCTCACCCTCTGTCATCCCCTTCTCCTCCTGCCTTCAATCTTTCCCAGCAACAGGGTCTTTTCCAATGAGTCTGCTCTTCGTATCCGGTAGTCAAAGTATTGGAGCTTCAGTATTAGTCCTTCCAATGAATACTCAGGACTGATCTGCTTTAGGATGGACTGGTTGGATCTCCTTGCAGTCCAAGGAACTCTCAAGAGTCTTCACCAACACCACGGTTCAAAAGCATAAATACTTCAGTGCTCAGCTTTCTTTATAGTCCAACTCTCACATCCATACACGACTACTGGAAAAACCATAGCTCTGACTAGGCGGACATTTGTCTGCAAAGTAGGCAGCCATAAAAACAATGAAGATGCTTTTAATTAACTAGTACAGGCTAATTTAAGAGATCATGAAGTAAACAAAGCAATTTGCAGAACAGGAGTATAGTAAGCAACTTTTATGTGCAAAAAGAAGAGCACAAATAAGTATACGTAACTTGTAACTTGTGCTCTGAGCTCCACAGGGTGTCTGGGAATCCACCCAAGAACTGGTGACTTTGTTTTATCCCAAGAAAATAAATGAAGAGTTGGGGAGATTTCTCACCATACACTCGGTGGAATATCTTGCATTTTAAGCAATGTAGATATATTACTTTCCAAAAAAGTGGATTATACATCAACATTAAATTTGTAAGAACTTGGGATTGGCGATAAACAATGAAGCTGCAATTTTGTAAATTCTGAGCAATCTTACTAGAAAGATGGGATCAAAGAATGGCCTAGTTTCAAAAGTTAAAAAAAGAAAAGAAAAAAAAAGGCAGATTAACCCTGAATAAAATAGCAGCGAGTCTGAAAAGTTGGCCGTTTTATATTTGCCTAATTAGAAAAAAAAATATCAAAGATGGACAGCAAGGTCTTTGGTAAAACTGAAAACATACAGTACAGGAAGATCACACTCCTGTGATCAAAGACCAAAGGGTAGGCAGGTGAGCTAAGGAAGAAATCTGAGTCAGATCAGACTAGGAGTCTCCACTAGGCCCTCTGGGTTTCCTGAGAGCAGAGAGGGCACTCGCACACTGCCTCCAAAAGGTGGGCGCGTAGAAAGAATGGAATGGGTGACTGAGGAGGCGGCCCACTGACCACCGGCCTCCCGACTAGCTGACCGGGACCATTCTGTGAGACCCTCATCTCCCCGTCATCCAGAGACTTAACCACAACGCTGTGGGATACGGACATTTTCCATAGTTAATCATGAAAAGCAACTTGGCTACTAAGGCTACAAAGACCACACTACAGATTCCAGAGACTTTCAATCAGAGGATGAAAAGGGTTTATCTCTTGACATCCACTGGGTCTGTGCCTCACTCAGAAGGCTAGCTATAGCTGCTCTGCACATTAGTTCTCTTAATCTTCCTAACACCCTTGAAGGGGGAAATGATCACAATCTGCATTTTACTGACCCCAAAGGCTAAGTGTTTTCCCCTTCAGGAGGCTGTTTGGTGCAGTGACAAGGAGGAAAGGTTTGTGGCCAGACTGCCTGGGCCAGAATTCTGAATTCACACCATCAGCCTGTGTGACCTCAGGCAAATTATCCCTCCTCTCTGTGCCTTGGTTTGCTCCTCAGTTTATCAAAGGAGAGTAACAGTTCCACCTCACTGGGTTGTTGTGAGGAGAAAATAACTTAACACACGTGAGGGACTTAGAACAGTGCCTGGCACAGACGACCTGTCAGTAATTAATTTGTAATTTTTGCCCACTCAGCTAGCTGACACCTATCATTGTGGATAAAGATGAACAGACATAGTCCTGACTTTTTGAGAGAACCATGATGAAGAGCACAGCAAGACACAAAAATTAAATAATTCTCTTAGTA